TCTGGCTGGGTATCCAGTTACAGAAGCAACACATTAACAAGAGAAGTCTGAGTAAAACCAGTTACTTTCCCTAGTAACTAGTTACTTTGAAAGTAACGAGTAACTTGAAGTAACTGAGTTACTTTTGATAGAAGTAACTAGTAATGTAACTAAGTTACTAATTTAAAGTAACTTACCCAACACTGGTAGTTACATATATTACATGATATGTGGCAGCCCCCAAGAGTACCAAATACCTGAGGCCACACATCTAGGAGACATCTGTGCGCCTATCCCAGGAGGAGGAGGAGGGAGGACCGAAGTATTGTATATTGTTTTTTGTTATCTCTCTTGTGAAGCACTTTGTGACATCTGTCAGTGAAATGTGCGATATATAAATAAACTTTTACCACGGCCAAAGGTGAGAGGACCAGAGGGGACGGACCAGCCACCCTGGTACCAGTCAAGAGTAACCCTGACCCAGCAAGTTTGGTGCGGAAGATCTTTCTCCCGGCCTGCGCTGACCCTAACCCTAGAATTAGACCCGAGACTGTGGCCTCACAAACGCACTTCTAGAAGATTTTCCTTTTACAGATGAGCTGAAGCTGAAGTGAAGAGCATATGTGTGATAGGCAGACCAGACTTTCGGTTCGTCTTCTTCAAGCCGGTAGGGGGCGGTAATGGCTCAACCCGGTGTTTGAAAAAGCGTCGAAGAAAAGAAAAGACGACGAAGAAGAAAACGTATGCGGAAGTGAGGTAAATATACTCGGACCTTGGCAGTAGTATGGAGAGCCCGGAGCTGTCGTTTACTCTGGCTTACGTCGTCCTCTCCTTCTGTTTCGTGTTCACGCCCAATGAGTTCCGCTCGGCCGGCCTCACCATCCAGAACCTGTTCTCGTCGTGGCTGGGCAGCGAGGACGTGGGCTTCATCCAGTATCACATCAGAAGGACCAGCATCACCATCGTGGTCCACTCCGCGCTGCCTTTAGGTAAACTCGTCACTGTCACACAGGTAGAAGAGCACTCTGTTCCCCGCAATCACGTCACGCACACAGTGGGTGTTAGAACCAGTGTCACCATTATAACATTTTGGAACCATGGGTAAAAAAACGAGGCATTAAGAAAAGATTAGAACAGTTTAAATGAGTGAATGATTTGTACTTTAAATCCACGCACAGGTCAGTAATGATGGAGGACACGCCCGTGGGAGCGATAACACTTTGATTTTGAGCTTTTAAATCAGTGCTTGTCCGTAGACACGGGTTTTATATACGAGAGCCCCGAGCAGAGGACAGTCACGGTCTGACCTGGTCTTGGTTTGTTGCTCCGTGGAGGGGCCCTGTGATGTTTGTGTACCTGATAAACATGGAGCAGGTTCGTGTTTGTCTGATGCTGTATTGTGTCTTCTCTCTGCAGGTTACTACATGGGAATGTGTGTCGCTGCTCCAGAAAAAAACCTGGTTAACATTTACCAGGTGGGTCGGCTGGTGCTCTCTGCCTGCAGCCTGCACGGGGCCACGCCCTCTGTTGTGTACTTAAGGAAACACATTTATGCTGATGTAGATCCTGGAGAACAGGCGGTGCATTTGGAGAGTGAGCCGTGCTATGAGTTTACACTGGCTCATATAAAACATTATCAAAAAAACAAAACCCACGACACAGGGCTTTGGAGTCGGTCATTAACTTTTATCTTTCAGGTTCGATCTAATGCTCACCACTGTTTTTAAGCAAAGTCGGAGAATGGATCGTTAGCATTCGCAGTACACATTCTTCTTTATCCGTGTTAGCTCACTGGTAATGATGCTGGTGAAAGTCTGACAGAGAAGCAGGCTGACCAGCAGATGGCGGCGCAGCATCTCTGTTATTTATTTAAACCAAAACTCTTCCAAACAGAAGAAACGGCTCCTCTCGTGGTTACGAGCTGCTCTGTTCTCATCATCGTCCATCTCTTTTACTGCAACACGTGCCCACGCTCTGCTACAGCGCTTGGGTGAAAGTGATGTAACTGTGCGTGACAAACGGTGCATTTTCCACTGGTTGTGTGTTTGATTTCTGCCTTGTTGATCAGAGTAAGCTGTGGTGGGCTGTGGCATGCAGGGCCCACACGTGCACACTGTTAAAGGACTGCTTATGCCTACAGCCTTTTAGCCGACTCGTTCCTGGTGCAGCTTCCCCGTCTCTGGGTCCAGCTGCTGTAGCTGGGAAGAAAACCTTATGAGGCATCACATTTCCACGAGGGTTTCATGACTCTGTGGGGTAGAAAAGTTTGAATTTATGCAGGAAATGGCTTTGTTTGCAGAGTAGCACATTTGATGAATTGAAAAAAGAAGACAGTTTTCCATAATGTAATCTGTAGGAATAACCAGAACACAGGAGCCAATAAGCAAACATGTTGGAGTCATTTTGTTGTTGTCGTCTTTTGTTTAGGTTTAGTGGTTCAAACTCTCTTGATCGTGAACCTGAAGCAGTGATCTCTTGTGTTGTTGTTTCTCCAGGTTAGTGACAACTGGAGAGCGTTTCTCCTTCTGTCTCTCTGCCTCCAGTCGGTCAGCTGGATAATTGTCTTCTACTGGTCCCGGCGTCGCTGGCACAATCATCCAATCAGTAAGGTGCTGCAGGCCCATGTGCAGCCCCCTTTCTCCAGCTGGGGCTCTGTGGCAGTCAGCATCAACACTGAGTTCAGACACATAGATAAGTTTGCTACAGGAGCACCGGGAGCTCGAGTCATCGTCACTGACACCTGGGTGTTAAAGGTGAGTGTTAATAAATATGCGTGTAGCTTTTCTTTGGCATTATAACTGCACAACTCTAGTTTCACGCACTGCAGAGAAACTCCGAGAAATCCTGATCCTGTGCTTTCCTACGAGTCTCAGTTGTCAGGACAACAGTCCACAGAAAGTCCTATCAGAAAAATGACCCTTACATCATAAACATCTTTTTTTCAGCCTCTTCTCGCTATCGTCAGAGAGAAACGTGTAAGTGACTGTTTCTGATAGACTGTTGATCATAAATGAAACAAAGCGTCCGTTTGTTTCTGCTTTTATAAAGTCGGTGGTTAAAGGGCTCGCAGCTGATGTGAGATCCGTCACAGTTAGGAACTGTTATCACAGACGGACTAGAAGGAACCTTGACCCCGTTCAGTTGAAAACTGATGATATTTATTATTGCCATTGTTTCCCTGCACTCTTCGTCTCCAAGGCAACCATTTCAGAGATGGGAAAATTGCAGATTGGTTGCACGTTGTCGCAGTAATGCTGTCGTGGTAACGTTGTCGTGGTAACGCTGTCGTGGTAACACTGTCGCGGTAACGCTGTCGTGGTAACGTTGTCGTGGTAACGCTGTCGTAGTAACGCTGTCGTAGTAACGCTGTCGCGTTAAAGTTGTCGCAGTAACGCTGTCGCGGTAAAGTTGTCGTGGTAACGTTGTCGTGGTAACGCTGTCGTGGTAAAGTTGTCGTAGTAACGTTGTCGGGGTAACGTTGTCGGGGTAACGCAGTTGCGGTAACGCAGTCGCGGTAACGCAGTTGCGGTAACGCAGTCGCGGTAACGCTGTCGTGGTAACGTTGTCGCGGTAACGCAGTCGCGGTAACGTTGTCGTAGTAACGCTGTCGTGGTAACGCTGTCGCGGTAACGTTGTCGTGGTAACGCTGTTGTAGTAACGCTGTCGTGGTAAAGTTGTCGCGGTAACGCTGTCGCGGTAAAGTTGTCGTAGTAACGTTGTCGTAGTAACGTTGTCGTGGTAACGCTGTCGCAGTAACGCTGTCGCGGTAAGGTTGTTGCGGTAACGCTGTCACACTTGCGGTCTGACCATGGAAAAGTGATTCTGTGCACGGCGAACAAACAAACGCAGACCTGAGCTACAAGGACACAGAGCGACGGCCGTGGGCTTCCTGTGGGCTCTAATCATTGTGATGATTAACGGACCAACTATACAAATCCATTCTGAGCTTTTCATGTAATAATTTTGGTACATAAATATTTTTAGAGCATCTTCACTGGTTTTCTGTTATCCTGCATCTTAATATGTTTCGTTTTTTTAATGTTGGTTATTTATTGAACAGGGACTTGGTAACTTTGCTGCGTTTCAACAAGAATCCAACTGCTGACTTGTGCGCATGAGCTGCAGCTAGACTTTGTCTGCTCAGGCACATCTGACCCTCTTTGTCTGCTTCTAGGTGACCACGTATCACATTTACATGGCCCTGCAGAGCGATTGCCACGTCACAGTGACAGAGTCCACACAGCACCACCTGAGTCCGGATTCAGCCTCGCCCACAGAGATCCTGACCCTGAGAGTTGACAGCATTAACCCTGCTGTCACACCATTCAATATCAAGTATGTGTTGTCTTGACAAAACGGCACGGCTCGTGTCAAAACAAAGAGAAATCAAATCGTCTTTCCCACTCGTTCCAGGCTCAACTCTACGGAGTACGCAGAGCTCCGGGAGAAGCTCCGGGCTCCTATCAGAAACTCTCCTAATGTGGTGATCCATCGAACGCTCAGTGAACTCTTTTTGGAAACGTTCAAGGCTCAGGTGGACCTCAATCAGCCGTACACCCTCCCCCACGGACAGGTACACACTGCTGCATTCATCAAATTGTGTCCAGTGCTGAGATGAGATGAGTCAGAAGCATGTGCTGTGTGCGTACACAGGAGTTAGAGCCCTGTATCGGCTGCATGCAGGTTCCAGCAAACGCCAAACTGGTCACGCTTTGCCACGAAGCAGGTAAAACTACGCTGATCGTTTTTTGGGTGGGTTCATATGTGCTCGTGTAACTACGCCTGTGTGATTCCTGTCTGCTACAGAGACCGATGATGACGATTCAGACTGCCAGCAGTGTCACTGCAGACCCATGTGGTGTCTGTTGTGTCTGGGTCGATGGTTCGCCAGCCGTCTAGACGAGCAGACACCGGAGACGTGGTTGTCCAGCAGGGTTCCCTGCCCTACTTGTAGAGCCAAGTTCTGTATTCTGGATGTGTGCGCAGTCCGATGACGGGCACACGTCTCCCCCCACACTGACTTTTAATGTTTCCAATGTTGACCAAGGGTTTCTGCTCAACATCCTCCAACCAGAGCGGCACCTGGACTGGATGTGGTCGTGTTCTATTTCTGCTTTTATGGAAACGAAATAAAAACAATTCTATGAGGAATCATTTATTTCATATTTGTATGTTGTTACAGCACCAAATCTTCTCATGCAGGGCCCTTTCTGCATCTTTTCTTATGCAGCGTAGCAACAAATATGAAATAAAACATGAAAAGTTTTAGATGGAACATTTATCATGTAAGGGCAAAATTCTGATTACTGTGATGTGGAGCGAATGTATGAATCTACAGTTTAATAAAGTTTAACTCAACTTGGTTTATATTTTAAATGTTTGTATGAATACCAAATATTGAAAAAGGGTGTAAATAATAAATGTACTGATATGGAAGGAAACCTCGCAGACATGGATGAAAGCTGCTGCCTGCGGTGGATTAAACGATGCCTGGAAACGGCTCACACATAGTCACCTGACTTTGTTTGTTTTTCAAATGTATTTGAGAAAAATAATACAACAGATAAACGACACCATTAATAAATGTTTTCTGTACGTTTGTCCTGCTGTTTCACATTAGCATCGTTTCCTAGCAGGGGGCAGCTTCTTTAGTGTTTAGTGGTACAGACGTCTGTGGATTCTCTTCATCTGTGACACTTTCATAATGAGTTTGTGGTTCTTACTCTAATTTGAAGTCATTCGTAGATCTATAGAAGGATACTTGATTGATCCCATCAGCGTGGGCTCAGATTGTGGTCATAAATATTTTGTACTTGTAAATTAGGATTCATATGTGTAAAATAGATTTGTGTGTGGACTCCATAAAACCCTCCAATAGCCAAACCCACCTGTTCTCTGATTGGATAGTTTGTGATTGACATGACATTGGCCAATCAGATGAAAGGAAGAAAAACTGGGTCAAAATTCGTACTTGTAATTTGAAACTTGAGTGCAGAGTTTCACACGTATTTTTTGGCTAAGTCCACACAAATCTTGTTTACACACACAAATCCTAATTTACAAGTACAAAATATTTATGACCACAATTTGAGCCCATACGTCAAGATTTCTGACTGGGAACTCACCATTGCCCCGGCCCAGATTTGTAGAAAGGTACAATTCAAGCTTTTGACAGCGACCTCTGTGTGTGGACCCTGATGGGCTGCGGAGCTTCTGACTATAGACGCGCTACCATCCACATTTGCACATGGACAAAGATTTTATTTTATTTAGGACGTCTTCATTTATCTGATTTTTTTTTTTATTCAGAACTATTTATGTTGCACAGCTGTTCCTGACAGACTGACAGTGAAAAATCACAGAGTCCATGAAAACTACAGATAAAAACCAAAGAGGAGGAGCTGTGACAGAATATGTACGGAGCCCCGCAGGGGACATGGGAGGAAAAAATTAAGACGGACTTTTGCGAGATCTTGCAAAAGTTGAATTCCAACAATGGCGGCAGCTACTTAGTTGTAATGTTACTCTTTCTGCGTCACAAAATACACTTCTAAGATATTTTGAGGCGTGAATGTAGTTGTGTAAACGTCAGATATCTGCTCGGTTTACAAGACATCACATATTTGCAAAAGTGCTCCGACGTTTTTGGAGATGTATGAAACTTTTGCGAGATCCCGAGTTAGTTTTGCGAGATCTCGCAAAAGTCCGTCTTAATTTTTTTCTCCCATGTCCCCTGCAGGGCTCCGTAAATATGGGACAGAAAAATGAATGAACACTTCAGTGGGGTTGGAATATATCATTTATTTATTGAAGGTATTTATTTGAATTCCAAATCTGTATGGCCTTTCATTCATACTTTCTCTCACCTTAGGATTTGTACCTTAGTTTTAGCATCGTTCACATTTAATGTTGAATTCATACAAGGAATCAAGATGTTTAGTAATGTTGCTTAAATTGATATACAGAACAGAGAGTAGCAAAGAAACCTAGATTTATGTAAACATTGTCATATTATTGGTTAAATATTTAGGTAACTGCCATGTCGGGTAAATTAAGCAAAGTTAGGATGATCATTGTTCACATACTTGTAAACACTACTATCTATTATTAATTCTTAGGTGTCATCCTGATCATCCTTCTGTCCACCAGGAAACATTATCAGCTATTTCTCAGGAAATCTAAATTGAATCTGAATGACATGAGCCTCTTTCTTTTTACAGTAAATGCTACTGTTTCATGCTTTTTTCCTTCTACACAGTGCAACAGTAGAGTGTGGCCTGAGGCTGGCTGTGTGATCGTGCAGTGGGAAGAGGTGATTCTGGTAGCAGTAGTCTCAAAGCATCAAACATCCTCGGGCATTCTTCCAACCTGCCAAAATAAAATCATTTCAGTTAATAAAGGAATGTGTTTATTGTGTGTGCTGCAGGAGGAAGCATGTGACGAGGAAAGCGTTCATCTAGATCTAAACCTATGCAGGACAAACAGTGATTGTGAATGGAAGATAAGACGAGAAGATGATCTTCAATCCGATATTATTTATACAGCGCCAACTCATAACAACAGTCACCTCTGTACTGTAAGGTAGACCCTACAATAACACATGCAGAGGAAAACTCAACAATCATACGACCCCCTATGGAAGAAACCTCCGGCAGAACCAGGCTCAGCGAGGGGCGGGGCCATCTGCCATCAGCTGGGCAGTGTTATTAGTTTTCATGTAGCAACAAAATGACCTTCTTCTGATACTCAGAGTGAAAAGTTGCAGAGAATCATTGCTTAACTAAACTGTCACAGAATAATCTAAATGTATTAGTATTTACATGGTAACTGGACTGATGGCTCTGCACTTTTCTGCTCTCCTGGAGGACTCAGCGCGCTCTATGCAACACGCCACATTCACCCAGTCACACCAGCACTTTCTTCTTTCAGTGCTGTTTAGCTAACATTCACGATGGATGCATCAGAGAGCAACTGGGGGGTAGTATCTTCCCCAAGCATATTTGGCATGCAGATTAGTGGGAGCCCAAACCAATTAAGGCGGTTCAGGGATCTGACAAGGATGCCTCCTGGGCGCCTCCTGGGTGAGGTGTTCCGGGCATGTCCCACCAGGAGGAGGCCCCAGGGCCCATATTTCTCGGCTGGCCTGGGAACGCCTTGGTGTTCCCCGGATAAGCTGGAGGAGGTGGCTGGGGAGAGGGAAGTCTGGGCTTCTCTGCTTGGGCTGCTGCCCCCACGACCCAGCCCCGGATAAGCGGAAGAAGATGGATGGACGGGAGCCTGGATCAAACCCATAACCTTCCAGTCAGTAGCTGACCTGCTCTACCACCTGAGCTACAGCCAACCAACATACCAACTTGTACTCGTACCTCACTTATTTGCTGCATAGCGCTGTTTGAACGTTGATGAGGGATGTTGGGACCTCGAGGAAATCCCACCTTAATTTGTGTAAGTGGGATTCAGACCAAAGACAGCTGTGACGATTCAGTAATTTGTTTTGAGGTTTTCCAAACACGTAAACACTTAACAGTGGCGATATGAATACAAAACACTATTTTCCTGTTATACAGGAATTTACCAGGAATATGCACATTTATTTGCACAGCCTGGTGATGCTCGAGATGTAACAAATAACCCTTGCATCCCATTTAGAAATGACAACTTCACCGCCTCATTGTTACTTTGTGACCTCTTATATAATGTATATTCTGTGCCTGCTGTCATAAATGCCTCATGGTTTTAATGCTCTCCAATGGTTTGATTTCTTTACTGCTGGTTTTTAATAACTTTACTTGAACCCACTTGCAGACCTCCAAAGTCTGACCCGGTGACCTCGCTGTCGTGACGTTTCCATGAAAAGTGACCAGGGTGCCATTAGAGGTCCCTGGTTATATTTTTGTAAATATGATTAAATATGGAAACTTGCAGGAGTCCTGGATGTTTCGTTAATATTTTAATTAGCCAATACTTTGACATGTTTTGATGCATCTATCCCTGTTACAGGTTTCATGCCCTCACATCTCTGATGTCGTCATGTTTACACTTTCATCAAGACTGGACAGTGTACATCCACGCGCCAGTATTATGTCACATTAATAGTACCACCCAGTGGCAACATGCCATCAACAGTAGGTGATAAACATCCACTATACAGAACTTTTTCTGAGTGATGTGAAACACACCAACATATAAACACTGTGTTTTGTTGTGTATTAAAGAAGCTAGATTCAACACGGACACAGACTTCTGCTCCCAGCTTTAGGAGGATTTACGAGATATTCCACAGACCTTCAGCATTTATGACTTTCTGTCCACCATCTTGGTTTTGAGTAAAACAAACTACCCATGAGTGGCCAATAGTAAGCAGAGATGAAGGACTGGTGTCCACTGTGCTGGCTGATATGCAGCTATAACAAAAAAACGCATGCATAGCAACCACTATAAAATCTGATGCTTACTGAGAGTCTGGCAAATATTAGGCCGCCCTCATAGTGCCGCCAAGTAACAACAGGAAATCAGCATTAGGTAACAAACATCATGTGATCTACATGAAACCTTATCGATATTTATAAATACTGATATAGTGAGAAAATATTGTTCATGTTACTTCTGTCTCCTCAGAACTATTTGTTAGAAAGTAAATAACAACCTTGTAGTTATTCAGTGATTTTATGAAGCTGTTGTAAACATTCTCCCAGCAACAGAAACAAAGATGCAGCCAGATTACACACACCTGAGAAGGTTAATGGTAGTGTGTATAACCAGCCTCACCCACAGTAGTACAAAGTGGCCTCTTCAGTGAATGTGTAATGTTTTGTGCTCTCTGCTTTTCATATATGGATACAGATACAGCATGGTGCTGGTACAGAGGCTTCACCATTGAAGCGGTTGCTTGATGGTTTCCAGTTTATTAGGTCTGTCCTGTATGATGAGTGACCCGCAAACTGGCCTACCATTGGAGGGCTGCCACTGCAGGCTCTTTGTTGCATACAAACAAAGCTTTTTATTTTATATTTTTAAGAAACCGCACAGCGGCAGTTCAAACCTGTTTTTGTTCAGTCTTCTTTGTCCTGAGTATGTGCGACCTCAGAGCCAATGAAACAAAAAGGTTTTTTCCTGCTAAACGTGTATACAGACTCAGAGGCTCTGAGAAAAGCACACACACACACACACACACACACACACACACACACACACACACACACACACCACCACCCCCTACCCTGTCTTTCCACCAGCTGCTGCTGTCTGACAAGCTGATGATGACTGTGTTTTTTCCCCTCCTTGTTTCAAAGTATGTTGGAGCAG